ACATCAACAGGAGAATATTGAAATTTTATAATCAGTGAAGAACTAAGAACTGGCACTCTACACTTCCAGGCAATGTAAACCTGTATAACTCCAGGATTAGCTCAGATTCTGCACAGTGATGGAAATTAACTTCTCTGAAATATATGGTGTCACCTGAAGTAGTGAAATTTCATCAGAAATTACCTAACTACATTATTTTAGATGAATTAGGACTACGCTACAGACTACAACATGATCTGTTACAAACAATAACCTAAAAAATAATCCATGTACTCCAGCCAAGTACACATGGTCAAGACAAGGATCTGAATTAGCTGGACAGATTTATTACATAGGCCATGTTTGATTTGGCATGTTAAATTCAGTGGAGTTGTGCAGGGTTTGGGGTTTCCTATTTTAGTTCAGAAGTCTTGCACTCTACTTAGTTAGCTACTATTGAAACTTTATTATTCCTACCGTACAGGTATTTGAGACATCTCAGCTGGTGTAATTTACACTTCAGAGATGCAGAAGGCTCCTACACTACAACATCCACTTCTTCTGGCTGAAAGGCACAAATTACACCAACACAGGTTGCATTTGTTATCAACAGTGTGGGTGTCAGCAGTTCAAAAGGGACCTAAATGAGTACAGCTGACTACTTCAGGGAATTATCTCCTTCCCTGTAACTTAGGGGAAGCTTAAAATCACGCAGAGGGGGGGAAATAAATCTTAATTCCACTTCTCATCGCGAGTTTTTAATTGCCCAGAAAAACTCAAGGACAAATACGGCTTTGCAAAGAACGCCGCACCGCGGATCCCGCACCGCGGATCCCGCACCGCGGATCCCGCACCGCGGATCCCGCACCGCGGATCCCGCACCGCGGATCCCGCACCGCGGATCCCGCACCGCGGATCCCGCACCGCGGATCCCGCACCGCGGATCCCGCACCGCGGATCCCGCACCGCGGATCCCGCACCGCGGATCCCGCACCGCGAAGCCCCCATCGCGGCGCGGCGCTGCCCCCTGGCGCGCAGCGGCTCCGCAGAGCTCCCATGTATGAGCTCTGAATAACCTATTTAGAGCCCATGTGTAACACCTAATTCCACTTTACTTGAACCTGGTTGCTCCTCAAGAGAAGACGCCATCAAAAGCAACGTTATGGAACGATCCTCATGTGCACTTTAATGTGTTTGAAAGGCAGAATCTAGACTTTCTCAAAATATAAATGAATGTAGCAGTTTTGATATAGTAGATGAATTAATTGGACATGCAGGGAGAAATGCTGGTGAACTGGAAAAAAACTAAACAAACCCAAAACCAAGAGATGCAGGGGACAGAAAGTGAAAAAAGAGAAAAAGGAGGACATACTCATCTCAAAGGCATCTTACTTCATCATCTTAATATGCTAAGGACATATACCGAACTACTGCAGGTCAGATGATATGTGAAAACTCATCAGACCTCTGTAAAATTGCTGCTATGGTGGTCAAACCCAGGACACACACCAAGAGCATCTACTCTCCCAGATCAATTTGCTCCTTATAATAAGTTTTTATACAGTCTACAACATCCCAGTCTTCATTCTCACTGCACTAAATCACAAGGCTACAAGGTTAATCACTTCATTCTGTTCTTGTACTCAACTGAAATACAGGTACTGTTGAGATGCTGTAACCATCAAGTGTTTCTCTGTCTCAACAACAACGTAAGAGACCCATCAATGGATCACTTGTTTAATCACTTCACAATGAACACACAAGAAGTGTCCTGAGTATAACATAACTACTGGGAGAGTATGGGGAAGTACCTGCTAGTCCTGTCCTACCGCAGTTTGGGAAGACTGTGCAGTCCTGGGAAGCAGCTGAGCACCCTCAGTGAGGAGAGCCTGTTAGCTTCCAGGAAAGCTCAGCAAACAGGAGACTAAGAATGGGGAGCAGCCACACAGCCAGGTTTCTGCAGAGACAGAAAGGACAGTTTTTCCAAGACTTCCAGGGAGGATTTTGCAGGTGGTGAATCCAGGCAGCCAGGGAAAATTAACTGGACCAAGAGGGAGCCTGAAGGAGAGATACTGCCATGAAGTGACACAGGGATCACAAGGCAATCTGTGTACAAAAAAATGCATCTGTTCTTATCTATCTCCCCATTCAGACTATTTGGTTTTAACAAGTTCATCATTCTAGTTTATGTTCTCATAAACCTTCAGAGTTCACAAATCCTTGTTAATGCTCTTGTTGGGATTGTTTTAAGAAACACCATAAGCAAACCCCTTGTCCTTCCCTCCCAAGGCCTACAAGGCTCCAATCAGGCCTATCACAAACAAAAACACCACCAGATTTAGCCCTTCAGTCACAGCTGAGCACAGGACACTGCTCAGCAACAGCTCTGCCCCCATCCCCTTTATTTTGCCTTGATACTTGAAAAAACTCTCCTTAAAGAAGCATGGCCACAAGTAACACAGCTACATTGGAGTTACCTGAATATTGCACTCCTGCTGCTATAAAGCCTAAGTTTAATCCTCTTTTACATGAAAGATCTAAAAGGTGTTTCAGTTTAATGTGAATGGTTGAACACCTCAGACTCAGGCTAGACAATACCACACTGCTTTGTCAAAGGATTTCAACATGGTCTCAAGTATAGTACCACCTACCTGACAGGCATTAGTGACAGCTGTTGCAAATGTGTCACTTACCCAGCACTTGACACCTTTTTTGGCTTTACTCTCAAACCACAGTCTCCAACACTGTTACTGAGTCACTGACATGCTGGAAAAGCCAAGTTGCACACGCCTCGGCTGTTTCCACTCCAAGGTACCTTACACAATCTACTAATTACCTAGGTTTTAATATGGTCAGTCATAATGACTAAGGAAATCATTATGACTAAGGATCAAAGATAAAATTTTTTTTTACTGCCTTCATCATTAAACTTACACAAGAAAAGATGCAGACACATGTTCACTCACCTGCATTCCCAGCCAGGCAAGCACAAGCCAGTGTCAGTATAGCAGCAGGGTAACTGTGGCCTTAGTGGGCTGTTCAGCACACTGCTAAGTGCTGGCTCTCCCATACCTAGTGTCCCTAAAGCACCTCCTGCTTTTGGAAGCCGCATACACTACGGTGCTAGGGCAGTTGCTACACTACAAGTGGAAAGGCCTGGGAGCAGTTAAAACCAGCAGTTAAAGTCCACAAAGACAAATTCCAGCAGGAACAAGTATTTAACCTACTGCTCTGCTCCTGTGCCGTGCACCTCGCATCTACAAACTCAACTCCTAGTGTGTGGAGTACAGACAAGACCTGGAAAGGAAGGGCAATAAAAATGATACACCAGAATGGGAAGATATCAAACTGGAACAGAAACTGGCAGGTAGCAGCACACCAAATTCATTCTATGTAGAGAACTGACATTACTCATTTTCAGCAGTCTTCAGAGTTTATAGGTTTTAAATCAGAACTGTACTTGTCTGATTCATATAGTTATTGCACTGTAAATTTGTGGTTCTCATACATTTTACATGACAAGACTGTGTAAAAATATTTTTTGGTGTACATTTCATTTTCTTTAGCATTTTTCAAATCAAATTTAATACAGCCTAGATGTAAATAGTCAATAGACTTAGGTACCATGAAAAGAGATTTGGATAGCATTTCTGTATAAAAGTCTTTGACTTTTACTTACCCCCTCAGATATTTAAAATGCATAAATGACTTGATTTTCAGCAGTAAAGCTTAGACTCATTGTGGATTGAGTCCAAAGTTCATCAGGCATACAGCACATAGGTTTTCTGAAATCACACATGTGATTCATAGTGCATAGGCAAAAGCAGCTTATTCCAACAGATCCTTTATTATTCTGTCACTGCTGTCCTTGCTCCATGCTGTAGTCTGAGCCATTCCCATCTACTTCAGCTGCTTATTTCCATACCACCTCTCAGAAACAGCAGTGTAACTATCCTCAGTGGCTTTAAGCATAAAGAGAAATGTGATTTTTAAAAGTTTACAACAGAAAATAAGATAGATTTTTCAAAATATCATCCTATCTTTTGTTTCATAGGTAGCAAAATCACCTGAATAGAAAAACAACTACCTGTTATGTGTTTTGTCTTCTTTCCTTTAAAAAAAAAAATAAAAAAAATTATAAATTATTTACCCAAGGTCAGAGAGATGACTTGGAGAAGCTCAGGAACTGTACCAATGTTTCACGTCAATCTTAAAAAAAAACACCAAAAGTCAAACAAAACCCCCCTCATACTCAACTTCAGAGTAAGCATGTTATCACTAAAGCAACTGTATTTATTTCTATGCAAATCTTTTTTATGGGTTTTGTAAAAAAATTCTTTCTGGAAATTATTAACTTGCTAGCCATGAGTCTAGTTCAGTAACACAGACAAAAATCAATGATCCCAGCAAATGAACTTGTAAATCTTTGCAAATACCTTTTTACATTTACAGCACTCTCTATGGTTTTGGGTGGATTATTTCTGATCCTGCATTCGTATTACAATAGTGTAAAATGCACTTTGATGGAGTTAAATGTAGTATGTGTAACCTAAAATAAATCTGATTAAAGTAAACCCAGTGTCTATTTCCTCTTTATAGCAATAGATTTATCTTGTAGTCTATGATTGAAACAATCATTCTTGACAAGTGCTTACTCTTTGGCAAGCATTATGCTTTCTTTAGCATAAAAACAGACTTAAAAATTAATAATGGAGTCATAAAGTAAACTTGAATCTTGTCTACTTCTTAATCATGATGCATTATACACCCACACAGTCTGATCTGTCCTGTTTCAGCTCTGATAATTATGTGCTATCAAACTATCATTTAAGAGTCTTAATCAAAGTGAAAAGTAATGTTTATTAACATGAATTAGGAATATAGAATAAAAATAAGTAACTTAGTAATACATAATCAAAATAATCAGCATAGTAAATATACTTAAGTGGTATACACTAATGGCTTTCATTCACAGGTAATAGTTTACTTCACATTCCCATATAAATCAAAGCTGTATTCTTTCAGGAATTATTTCCTCGCCCAGATCCTTGACTGACTGGTTTCTTTTTTTTCTTCTTGATTTTTATTAATCTTCTTTCACCTTTTCTTTTATTGAACCCTAAAGGTAAAATGAAGAAAATAAGATTAGATGCTGTATGACTAACACATCACAGATCATCAGAAATAAGAGACAAGTCTTGTTTTCAAGAAATATTCTTACAAGAAGAAAAAGTAACATTGTCTTACCTAAAGTCTTCATATTCCTAATCAATGGCAAGCTGTCTTATTTTTGTTCTTGTACACTGTATTTTACTTTCCATCTTTCTCTCTCTAACTCTGTCTCTTCTGATTTCCATTTTCACTTTTCTAAGACTTTCAACTATTACTTTTTTTCAAGGCCAATACTTACTAACAAAATTGCATTAATGTTTCAGTCTGCATAACGTTTAACTCTCGTTGCCTGTAGCAGTAGCACTTCCCATACCTTTCTTGCAGATCCTCAAACATGATTTTCTGGACGTGAAATTATTTTCATTCCCACCACAACCACTGTAGCTAAATGGGCGACATCTTCCAGTTGAGTAGTTGTAGAAAAATCTTAACTCTTTGGCTCTACAAAGTCCTTTGTCCATAGGGGCCATACACAAAGAAGGGACAGGGGGTTGTTCTAGAAAAACCAAGAAAAACAAGGTTAGAGACAACAATGCGATTAATCATTTTTCTGTTATGCTGATATTATGTAAGAGACTGGAAGCTCACAGAACTTTGAAATTTACATTAAATTTACTGGCAAGTTTAATTCTGCTCTCCTGAAAATCCAGGATGTTTTTATACAAGCATGTGCCTTTTTATGAGCACTAAGAGTGCCACAGCAAATTCTCTCTTTGAAACCCAAAATCCACCTTACCTGAAAGCAAGATTTGTTTCCTATATATTTGGCAATAAAATTGCCATTTCTGCAACAGGAGGTAGTATTCAGGTTCTGTTAGGGAAGTTTCAAGTGAAGTGTTTGTAGAAAGTGAAATAGATTAAACTTGGACAGCTTTTAAAAATAAATATTTAGGATAATTAATAAAGTGAATTTTCCTAATTACTGCTACATGTTCTGCAATCAAATAGAAGGTAAAAGTACCCAACAATATGAGATTCAATGCCTTAATATTGGGTTTGTTTTATGAATAAAGCTTGATCTAAGCAATAAAAGTTGGTCTACCAGCAACCACTGAGCAATTATCAAGAAATAGCTCTTAACTCGCAGAATAACAAAGGATTGAACATGAAGAATAAGTGCAGAGAGTGACTGAGATGCTGGTGCTTTAGTGCTGTGGTTAGGTTTTTACCATTTCAAGGAGTAGGCTGATGGTTTGTTTCCTCAGTGTTGATGCAAATGAGAGCATGAGAATTGAAACACTGGAAGGTGAACTTGTTGTGTCTGAAGTACTTGGGCACTGGAACAAGTTCAGGAAGCAAATCCATGCCAGAATTCCCAAACCTGGAGAAACTCCATCATTTATTGCCCTGGAGTGACTTACATAAAAAATTAGAACTAACACAACTGCTGCACAGGATGCATGGAAGTGAATTGGAGCCACTATATCATCAGTTATGAGGGACCTAAAGGAGATCCATTTTCCTTCAAGAAGTAGCAGGCTTGAGATAGCTGATATCTGAATGCAGAAATGGAAATGTGAAGCCAGACAGGTGGTCTTCTGGAAGTTACAAAGCCAGGTTGAAGTGGTTCAGAGATAAAAACAAGTGAAAACTTCAGGGAATAATTTGACAAGAGCGCTGAAGGCATCCTGCTGTCACAGAAGTGGGAAGCAGATTAGCTGCTGAAAGCAGGAAGCTACAAATCACCTCGGACGATTCAAGAGCCTGACAAGAAAATATCCAAAAAGAACATGCTACATCTTAACTTGTCTTACACATAGTACATCTGCTGAAAAGGTTAACCTGCCAAGTATAATAGCTGATATGGCATGGTGAAAAAGTATGAAAAATTGCTGGGAAAGAAACAGAATGGTGTTTTATGGAAAGTTAGGACAGCAAATGAAATTAATAGTAAATTTGAAGCTGTAGTCAGCAACATCATACTATTAAAAAAGAATCTGAAATGCAAAAGTCTAAGTAATTAGTTGGTTTTTCAATATAGATTAATTCAGGTTATAAAATGAGCACTACTTAATTTATTTTATAACTGTGACATTATTCTAAGAGTGAAGTTCACTCTGGATCCAGAGTAAAAGCCCACAATGAGATACAATTTATATTAAATCTACTATTTTCTTTATAACCAAGATGTTAGTTAAAGTAACTAATGCAATGTTTTTGGTACTGCTCTGAAAACTCTTATGCCTGGAAGTAATTTCATATCTCTCTAGCTGGAGTGGATGTTAGCTTTTCAAGTATATGCACAGCAACATTAAAAAGGTGCTTACCTATTTTAACCTGATAGTTTCTGAAGCTGAAAGAACAAAGCAGGAAGCCTTGCCAGTCATGAAAATGCCAAACAGCATCTGTTTGTCAATTATGTAACAGTACTTCAATACATACTTTGTAAATTACTTATCTGGTATGTAGCATTTTCCAGAGAGACTCCAGAGTCCACTCATGAAGGAGTTCTGATGGTGACTGCAAGCCTCAGGGAAGCCATGGAGCCAGTGGTGTGGTTACCAGTGAATAAGAACTAGCTATGTAGATATAATAGAACTGGCAGAGCTTCATCCAAATGCTATTCAGAATATCTCTTATACTCTTTGCTAGATAAATGCCCCAGATACCAAACACTATTCCTGTTCATCTTCAAAATATCTGCATATTCTTTACAGTCACAGAGGCAACCAGCTAGGAAGAAAATCCCTTAATTTTGCCATATAGTAGTATTTTCTTTCAACATTGTACTAAAACTTATATTAAAGATGAAATTATTTAGAAAAATTTCCTGCCTGCTGAAGATGATTAAAAATATAAATTGATTTTAATATACTGATCACTAAAAGAGCTGTTAACTGTCAGATCATTTAGGCATAAAATACGTATTGTGTCATGCCCAGCCCAACATCTCTACTGGCAGGACAATCTATAAGCCTGTGGGCCAGTATGTCAACACAGTCTCTGGAAGCACTAAATCCAGTTAAGTTTTCTCTCAGCCTCAGCTTCTAATGTTGTATTTATATATATCATGTTACAGTAAGTTTAGATATTATGCTTGTTCCTGAATCACAGGTCTCTGAATTACAGACAGGAACTTTACTGAGAGACTACTTGAGATATAAATGCTGTTTGAAACTTTTTTCTCAACTTAGAATACATTATAGTAATTTTTTTCACAGTGCAAGTAACATTAGTCATTACATTGCAAAACTCATTACGTATTAACAGCAAACGGATCATATCAACCTAAACATTAATAAATGTGATTAAATGCTTTCTAGCTTTTTCATACATGCAACTACAAGGCCCATCCTGTGGCCTTTAATGCAACTGCAACAGAAAACAACCAGTTATTTACATTGACAGCAACAGGCTGAAACAGTCTGACTTTACCCTTGTGTTCATGCTAGTCTGTTTAACCAAATTATCCCACTTAAAGAGGGTTTAAATATACAATACAAAACTCATAAAATGTGATTTGCTGTGTATATTATTTGCCAAAAATATGCAACATAAGTCAGGTCATGAACAGGCATGGGAAAAAAGAATTTACAATTCACACAAATGAAAGCTTCCAAGCTAAGTTAGTTAAACCTTTCAAAGTGTAAAGTTTTCTTCTGGGAAAAGATGATACAATGAAACATAAAGTTTTGTTCCTCAAAAACATGCTGATTCCATCCAAAAACTTTTGAAGAAAATTAGACCTTGGAGCCCATCTGAAGTGGAGACTGTGTACTGGAACTCCTGCAACTAGCTCTACAAATGGGTTTCAGGTTTTATGACAGGAAAATACAGTGGTACATCTTCCTTATATCTTATGCATGTTATTTCTTTTTCATGATGATGCAGATGCCAGGACTGATTTTGTTTTGGTGAGGAGTAAGACCCAAAACTGCAATATTTGGTATTGTTTCTGAAAAAAATATATAAGCTAAAAATGGGTATATGAAATAAGCAGTAGATAAAAAAGGCTACTATTCTTACCTAGAAAAATACTGTAGTATCTTACCCTTCACTGCTACCTAAAAAATCTTTAAATGTGCATGGTTTAAGATTTAATTCTTATTGTACAGCTCCTTCCTGAATCCCAGACACCCCTCTCTGTGGTGTGAACAGATGACATGACCATACTTCAGAATCTCTGAAAGAGGCATATTCAGATATAGACTCCTATCTATCAAAAATAACCTCAACCCTGTATTGCAACAATAACAATTATCCTGGGGCTGTGTGAGAATGAGCTGTTATTTGATCACAGTACGAAACAAGTTTGAAATTATCTTGGTGACCTGGATGAGTAACAATCCTAATTGCATTTTCTTTCTCTAGACCAAGGTGTGTGACATTCATGAAGCTGCAGATTTATTGCCAGCTTTTTGATATTTCCAGATTTGAGTATGTTGTTTTTGGTTACAGCAATGAGAAAAAAGAAGAATCTTCACCTAGACAAGCTAGTACAAAAATAATGAGTCATCTGTACTTGACAGTACTTTTTAGGTATAAATTGGTGCAGATGCATTATAGTGAAAATAACTGTGTCAATTTATATCAGCAAAAGATGTGGTACTTTCTTGGAAAAGAAGAGAAACTGCCTCTGTGTGCCATTCTGTACTTGCTGAGTTGATAATTGACTTTTAATCCTGTATCCCACTTAGATCTCACAAAGCAAATGTAGAGTATAGCACTCATAACTTCCTAACATAAATCACTTTGTATAATCTAAAAATGAAACGTTTGATTCTTGGCTTCCCTTTCTCTTAACTTTGCCAGGGTGAAAGTTATTTTTATATCTTGCAGCAAAGTAAGACAAAAGCAATCTTCAATCTCTATAGAAAGGTCATTGCTGAGACACAGCACTAGATTTTTTTGTAGTTTTATGGAAAAAAAGAAGTTTTGTTTGCACATACAAGAGATTAATTTTGTGAAGATCAATAACTTGGTTGAAACAATTAACGTGATGTCATTATAGAGTTGTACATGTCACCAATGATATGTATTTTTTCTCAAAATCAAGATGTGCTAGCAGTTCAGTTGTGAGGTAAGATACTCCATAAGAGAGAACTCCTTGCAAAATATTTTTAATGATGGTCATGTATTAAAAAAGTAAGAAAGATACGTAGCCAGGTCAATATACATGCAAAATAGATGTCTGAGTGGCAGACCAGCTACTCTGCCTGTGTTAGAGCAGATCAGCCACCCCATCCCAAACACTCCATCCTGACCTCATACATGCACAGCCAGACTCTTGTCCTTGACCTAGGGCCATGGGGAGTCACAGTGCATGTTTGTGTGAGACGGCTCTGCCTTGAAAGTGGACAACTCTGCCTCTATTAATAGTAGGAATGGAAGCTATGGGCTGTACTTCACATGTCAGTTTTGGCCCTACCCTTTTACTCTCCCTCTAGTAGGATTGCACAAAAGCACAGGATTTCAGCCCATCCCAGCAGCCTGAAAGATACAGGCTGATAAACAGAATGCAGCAGGGGGCTGCCTGGGCAGGCTACTGCAAAACAGACAAAGGTTATATAGAATGGAAGAACCCGTGGGGTCTTGAGACTTGCCACTGAAACCCACTGGTCCTTCCAACATCACATTTCTTACCTGACCCATAGAGCTACACTGACTACACCCACCCTTGCTCCCCAACCTTTTCTTCCACCAACCTTCAAGTCTTTGCTTTCTCTTCATCTCTTGGTTCTATTATCTGCTCTACCAGAAAATTCACTATTACTGACACAACCAAGAATCCTTCTCACAAGAGTGAGTCATGCCCCTTTGCTTGTATAGATTAGTTGTTTGGGGGATCCGGAGATTCATATTATAAGTACTAACCTTCAGGGGACATGTACACTCTTATGTCCCCAGACTTATTACCAGGCCTTAAATCATTCAAATATTTTTCAGCAAAATAAGCTGGCAAAAGCTTTACTGTTTAATATTCAGTCATTTTAATAACAGTGTATTGATGCTTAGTATGTGGTAAACAAACAATCCCACTATCGTATAAACTTACCTCAACCCAACAGTAAATGTGAATCACAATACAGGCCAAAAAATAGAATGCAACACATATTCAAGCTTTATCAGATGTATCATTTGAGCAAAAAGCACAGGAATGTTATCTTACATGTCTTTGCAGATCACATAAAATAAAAAAAAACTTAATGAATCTTAAGGATCTGTACACCATCACTCAACCCCAAAAAGTAGAAGTAAGAGTAAATGCAAAAAAACACCAGAAATACTTGGTAAGAGCGCTCAGGCTTTTCCCAACTGTTTCTTGTTTCTTCTTGCATAACTGTGGATCATAAAAATGACATGCCTCAAATTCAATTACCCTTTACAGTGCGAGCAAGTACTAGCAATCTATAGTGGACAGCATCCAGCCACAGAAATGGTTAATGCCTGGTCCCCTCCACAGCAAGTGTCCAGAGTTTCAGCTACACTAAAACACATCATGCGAAATATCTTAAAGCAGACACAAAATAAATTTACGCTCTGACTATACTCAAACCAAGACCTGAGCTTAATATGGCCTTAGTGAAAATATAAACTCATTATGATAAATATCTTGTGCCATATTCTAAAATCCAAATATGGTCTTTTTAATGGGTAAAAGGACTTTTAAATCAGCTGCCAATTAGAACCCCAAAACAATTTTAATTTTTACTAAGAGAACTCTGCATCACTGCTTTTCCTTTTGGTCTTTCAATTTTTGTATTTTTCAGACCTTCAGCACACTCTTTCAGAACAGTACAAGATGTGGTTAGTCTTCCATTTTCTGATATTTATGGAAGATCTGTATGTAGCAATATACTACTTTGCTTTGACTTTCTATTTTTCAAAACATATTACATAGAGGGAAGCCTATTTTTTAGTGGGTGGAAATGGAAAAGCAATCCCAAATGCATATAAAAGATTGAGAGGAAGAATTGCAAAAGTGAATTCTTACCAAAAAAAATGGGAAACTGTTTCCGATCCTCCTTTGGGGAACTATTGTTCAGAGTGTTGGACTTGTCATTTGGAGCAGTTGGCAACAAATTGACTAAACGGAAAAGGAGGTGTCACAGTAAGTAACAGGTTATCTAGACACGGCAAAGCTCTGAAAATAAGCTATGATTGGTATTCACTTGCCTTGCTCCATGCCAGCATAAAAGACCACTAAAAGGCAGCTTTTCTTTAAATTCCACAGGCATGGGAAACTGATATACTGAGGCATTTTTGGGATGGATTCCTTTTTATTCCTTCATTTTATTGATATAACATTTAAATCAAACACGGTTTCAATGGTCACTGAATTCACTGTGGTTAGGTATTTCAAGCAACACACATACCTCCCAATAAACAGGAAAATGAGTGGACAAGCCAAGGAGTATCTGCATTAAAAAAATGGTACCTACCAACAGCAAAAGCAAATTCTTACCCAAAATCCCAGGAAACTGGTTGGGATTTTGCTCTGGGGAGCTACTGTTCCCAGTGTTAGGATGCTCTTCAGCTGGGATAATTGGCAGCAAGTTTGCTAAAGCAAAAGGAAAACAATTATGAAAAATCCCCCCAAAACCCCAAATGGTATAAATGATTCCATATGACTAAGTTAAAACTTTGATCTATTTAAACCATGGCAATGGCCCCTAATCCTCTCTTAATTCTTGGGTATTCATACAAATTTATATGGAGGGCTTACTTCAGATTAAAGTCAGGAAAACACAGCATTCCTCCATTTTTAGTGCAGAAGCTAGAAGTGGAATCAGAGCCCAATAAGTAATGCTTCAGCAAAGATAGGGGAAAAGCACATGCATCCATATGTGTCTATTTAAAAAAAAAAAAAAAAAAAGAAGTTTAAAAAATAACAATATTGGAACTTCCCTTTTCCAGATGTAAATAAACTCAAGTTCTCCTTGCCAAAACAACAGATTATGAAACAGTCCTGGAAAAAGGGCCACTAGAGACAAGCAAGACAAAAAGGTCAGCAGACTTTGGGTGGGAAAATGCATGCGTCCTATGTATTAAATTAACTATTTTGTGAAGCAGAGAGGAGTTATGAGGATTAGTATATTCTGATGCAGAATAATTCATAGGAACTAGTAGGATGAGGAAATGCATGCATGACCTATGGTCATCTGAATTACTCTGAGTGGCTGTTTTGTAGCCCAAGCTGCACAGCCCATTTATTCAAAAGGGACAGGTTTCCCATGATTCTTTGGTGGGAAGCAAGGACCACACAATAAGGAAAGAACATAACCAGAAATTCCTATATTGGCACCTTTTCCACAACAAGGTTTGGTTTGAAAAGAGTATATTCAGATGTATGGGTTAAAAGACATTTATAAACATTTCATGATATCATCAAGTCAGGTACCTGGCAGATTTTAGGTTACATAAAATAACATATGTGGCTGTAATCAGAATAGCCCCATTTCTTCATTCACTGTCATAAGTAAATTATATCTTGGATCATGAGGACTAATGATTCCTTGAAGTGTCCTCTTACATTGATGCTTTAAGATGAAAAACAGCTTTTACTCTGAATTAAAACAAGACTTGAATCTCAGCTGGATCATCTGAACTTAAGTACAGATTCTTGTCATTTATGTAGTCATTCTGGTCAATATTAGTGTGAATTATACACAAAGCAATGTTAAAATACAAGACAAATACAACCAACCAAGCAAGGCATTTTGTCTGGGACAGTCTACTGCTACAAATGAAAAAGAAAACTGGAAGACATTGAATATAGGAACTAGTTTTGTTCACAAAATATTTTAAACTCCTTTTCCCCAAACTTCTATCCTAGAAGTGTATTTATAACATTTTTCCTCTAATGGGAAGTTTAATGAGGAAATATCATGCTGTAATGTCAAGGCACAGCCAGGAAACTTTACTGATTGTGGACCAAATCCCCTTCTTAGACTAAATTGATTTCATTCATCATTACTTCATCTGTCTGTATTACTTCTAACATTCTGTTTCAAATGGTGTATCACACACTATTTGTTTCAATTTAGACATAATAAATAGTATGCAGATTTCTGAAAATTTGCAGTGTTCATTCTTACACACGCAAGTTTAGTATAATTTTGCAAAATGTTGTAGAATTGTCATATATACAGGCAGGTAACTTTCATGAGAAAACTAAAAAAGCAGGAGTCCTGTAATAATCATTAAAATTAATAGTACCTACCAGTTTTTTTTTAGTTAATAGTTTTTTTTATATTTTTATATTTTAAAAAAAAATAATATATATATATATAATGTTAATTTGAAATACAAGTTACATCCAACCTCAGGGTACTCTATATGTTGCCTTTTTTTCCATGCAAGATACCTTCAAAACACAATATTGTTTATATGAGTATAATGAGAACAACTTACAACTGTCTTGGCAGGTAGTCTGGCATTCTTCCAAAGTCCTGAAGTTGTTCTGGTTTCCTAGGCACCCACCATACTTGAATACTTCACATATCTTAGTTTCTTTGTTATAGAAATACCTGGAAAAATAGCCTCGGCAGATTCCAGGGTCTTTCTCAGAGAAGCAGAAGTTGGGCTTTTCTGCGAACAATGGTAAATGATGAGCAGGCTGGGGGAAGAAAAAAATCAACACACATTCCAAGACAACAATAGAACAGAAGTTTAGAAAATAAACCTGTAACTGGGGACTAAAGAGCAACCGTAAAATAACTGCTGCTTTATTGCACTGCTTTGGTTCTATATATAACAATTCAATATTAAGCTGGAGCATTATAGTGACATTTTTAGTGCTTGCCTTTTTTTTTTTTTCCTCTCTTTTCAAGTAGCCAGTAAATTATATCTTGGATCATGAGGACTAATGATTCCTTGAAGTGTCCTCTTACATTGATGCTTTAAGATGAAAAACAGCTTTTACTCTGAATTAAAACAAGACTTGAATCTCAGCTGGATCATCTGAACTTAAGTACAGATTCTTGTCATTTATGTAGTCATTCTGGTCAATATTAGTGTGAATTATACACAAAGCAATGTTAAAATACAAGACAAATACAACCAACCAAGCAAGGCATTTTGTCTGGGACAGTCTACTGCTACAAATGAAAAAGAAAACTGGAAGACAGATCAGCTATTCTAACTATAATTTTTCAGCCCCAGTTTGCAATTTGCTTTCACTAACTACATCAACCAAGAAACTGTTAACAAATGAATATACTGCTTAATTTGACTGATTATCAAGGCATGATATCACACCTTTTGGCAGAGAAGAAAAACCCACAGCCGTATCATAATCCTCAAATGTCATTTTATCACCATAATCAATATTTTCTCAAAATAATATTATTAAAAGAAAACAGTAGAATTAAATAATGAAATACATATGAGGTATTCTCTAATTCTTGCTAGTAGATACTTTGAAATATAATTCTTGACTGAGCTAACTGCTTGCAGAGAAAAGTATATTTAGCCATCCTAAGACAATCAAAGCCTTCCTTACCTGTGAAACTTAATAGAATATTGAGACTAAAACAGTGTGCAGAGAGCTGCTGTTTTATTAAAAATTACTATAGATCAATTACTTTGAAGTCCCTAACATTTTTGGAGTAGAGTACGGAGTTTTAAAGAAGTTAATCCTATTATCTCTGTTTTAGCCAAATATCTATTTTAAAATAATTGTTAGAACAAGAATATTATTGAATTTAATTGATGGACATAATATATTAATATAAAACATCATAATAGCTCATAATTATAGCTCCTTCAAGAATTGCCAGTCTTGTATTTAAATTGTTCATAAGCTTTATGAACAGTAAAATGCCATTTTCAGAGAGCAAATGTAAAATTAAACCATTAAAATGTGCTTGCATAAAGTAACAAAACCAACCATTTTAAGCACTCATTTAGCCTCATTTTGATTGGTGGTTGCAAATTGAATTCTCTACCAGTATGTATATGTATTCTACTGTTCAGCTACTTCATGTTTCTTAACATTAAAATGCACCACTTATTCATGGTTCACAGATTTATCAAACTAAGTTCCCATAAAGCAACAAATGGGAAAAGCATGGGCAAGGATCATTGTATTTTTTTCAGCTGAGAATGGAAATGAGACAGTTTTGTAGACAGGTAGCAGGCAAGAATCTACCAGAGTGGTTTCTATTCCGTATTCTATCTATCAGGAGCTGATAAAAAATATGACCTACAATTACTTGTTCAAAAAATTACGTAATATTGTGAAATAACAAAAAAATATTATTAGACAGATATTAACTGAGAAAGGAAGGCAGATCACAATGAGGGTATGTAGACTACAGGATTATCACTGATTCTTAAATACAATCACTTTTTGTTTAGCAAATCATTGCATTTAAAATGGTTCTTGCACAAAAAAGGAAATTAAGTTCAAATAAACTAAGCTTACAGCTAACTTTCACAGCCACTTTTGAAGACAGAAGTCATAAAGGCAATATAATCCTAGCTAAACAAAGTGGTATTATACTTCTAAAAGCCACATCTTTCTCCAGAGACTCAATATTCAAGACCACACTAGTGCAAACAATAGTAAATACGTAATTATGATGATGATAGCCAAGAGTCTGTTTTGTCATTAAAAGCAGGGAACTAGGGTCAGACCTTTAAGGAAGTAGTGCCAAAAGTCTGCAACATCTGTGTAAAAACAACTTCAGTAACTTCAATAGCACAGAAACAGTGTCATTTATTACTTTTTTTTATGCACTAAGAATGGAAAGAATAGTAGAAAACAGGAAAAGAAAACCAACATCTCAGTACAAAAATATTCCAGAATATCATTCTGCAAAGATGAATTATTTAATTAGAATATTTTAAAATACATATGCAAATATTCACTTTTCTGTGAGGAGTTAAATGCTCAGCAATTCAAGAGGAAGCAAGTGGAAGGAAGGCTAAAGCAAGGAGGGTAAGCAGAGGAGGAGCTGACTTGCAAAGAACTTCACTCAAGTCTGTATTTGGGGAACTTTGGCTACTGGCATTGGGCCCAATCCAGATAAGTGTCTGACATGCAAAGGGAGGGTGTGGTGAAATAAGTCTTCACAAGCTCTATTTTAATGGCCAAACCTAAGTATCCTCGTTAGGAACACAAGTTACCTCAATAGACAAACCGTGTTTCAGACAAGTGATTCTCAGCGCTTGAGCTGTTTAGGAAGTTTGGGTATCAGGCATTTAAGTTTCTGTCAGTAGTCTGCACCTTCAGGAAACTTGTCCCCTTGCTTAATGAGTAATTAGGGCATCTGCCCTAACCTCTGTTAGCTCCTACGCAGGCAATGCTTGAAAACTTCTCTTTCAGAGTGATTTTTTCCTATTTTTTCTAACAGTGGAGGAAGCATTTAGATTATTCTCAAAAAACACAAGAGTTCCACATCATGGCTAATTACATAATGCCTGAATCTCTGCAGATCCCTTCTTTTCTCTTTATTGAAGAAAGATTTTAGAAGTGTCATGCTGTGTTTACTTTGGGGAGAAGATATTGTAGCTGGTATCTTCAGTGACCACACCTGTCTTCAAAGTCTTTGATGGATACTGAAGAAGACTGGCAATAAGAGCTTACTGTAGTCTGACATTCCTCTTTTTGTGATGAGAAAGCTTGGAACAATACATAAAGAATTTATCTAAGGAAGCTAAATCCCTCATCACTGTATACAAGTCTTAGATTGCTATGTAAACATAATTACCTTTCTTAATTTTTGTTAACATCATCTTCTGAGGCAATTCTGCAAGATAAATAAAAAGAAAAGTATTTAGCGAAAGCAGACATGACCTGCTGACCTCTTGCATCTGGGAGAAGTGGTATGGATAGCCATTTGCTTGAAGTTGTCTGCTGGAAAGCAAATGCCTTTTTTTTTTTTTTTTTTGAGGTTTGCTCTGTCAGGCAATCAAACCTACTATAATGGAGCAATACATCTGCCAGACCATGGCCATCTTACTTACCTACCACAAATCACCTTTAAGATATCCTAGTGTACATGCCAAGAGCAGCAGTTCAGTAGCAGAAGCATATTACAGCTACTTTCTACTGCTGGTGGCTCTTCCTGCTTCAGTGAATACGTGTATTCCAGAGACCTGCTCATAAAGCCTCAGTGGAAACCATAGTTTAGCCTTCTTTGAAACATAAAGGGGGATTCAAAGAGAAATATGTATTTTCATCTGAATTTAAATCACATGCATTAGTCTCTCATGGCATGTTTCCCAAAAGCCCTCTAAGTCATATACCCGAAGGACATCACTACAGTCTCTCTGTGACTTTGTGAGATACAGCTATTCTCCCCAACTGCCAAGGGTGGGGAATACAGGAGTGCCCTGTCCTGTGTCCTATCTCAGCTTGGGGGTATCTAATAGCAAGACCTGAGACTGGAAACAATTCCTGCTCAAAAGAAGAGTTGCTGTTGTCCTCTTCCTTGTTATGGAAGCAGTAACAGAAGACATTTGAGCTGTCTGTATCCTCACCTTTTCTATAACTTGCAATATTAATAAGATCTCTCACCACCACTATTTCTAAAAATCTCTTCACAGTCCAAAACTGAAATGAGATTTAGCTGTTTATTTTCAAGTCATATTCCAGAGCAAGTGTTTCTAACCATCCTTTAGATAGTGATAAACCTTCCCTGGCTCCTACTTTAAGAGGTGCTGCTTATGACTAGTAAGCTTTTAGCATTAGCCATACTGCCTTTATGTGCCATAATCCCTCCAAGGCTTGTTTTTAAATGTATTTATTTGTCTATTTTTTATTGCAGAAATATGGCCTGTGCTATATCTTCAAAGCAAATCTATCAGGCAGAAATAATGCATTTTCCTTTCATCTCTGAGACAATGCAGCTGGCATCCTTAAAAAAATATATATAGTTCAAGACATGACATGCAGTTTAGAGTGACGTACCATTTGTTTGAACATATTTCCAGTGCTTCCCATTAGCAGAAGACTGTGGCTTCAGCATTTAAATCCATGACCCAAGGCATGGACACTCACATCAGGCCATTTCACTAATTTCAGTCAGCTGCCCCATTCAGGCCAAAATCAGCAATTATACTTTGGCATATATCTGTACTGTTCTGGCACAGAACAGGAAAGATTTATTGTGAGTTTATACAGGCCTAGTCAACCTATGTTTTTGCTTCTGGTTTCAGTCAACCAACTGTATTTGTGAGTAGATCTACTGCATAAATAATAGACATCAGAATTTCTGTCATGTCAAGAACCTTTTATCAGCAGGTATTTTTCCATGTTAGAAGCGTAAGTAGCCTGACATATGTAGTAACTGTCTTGAAAATTAGGGCCTTTGTGCTAGTGATTACATTTGTGATTCTACTCGTATCCAGTAAACAATAAAGCATATAGGAAAACTACTCTTAGAGGTATTTTTTTCTTCCTGAAATGATGAGTATTGGGCACAAGAAACAAAAAATGCAGCTGATTGCTAGGAGACTTGAGTCAGAGCTAGGCATCTTGCATCTGAACAGTCTTAGTCTTGGAGTGGCCAACCTGTAAGTTGGGCTCTCTGACCTCTCTTGGACTGACTTCAGTCAGCTCTGGGAATTACTCATTTGTCTTGTATGGCTTATTAATTAAGAAAATTTTAAAAATTGTTCTAAATCAAGGAGCCTGGCATTCACTCGTGCTGGTTCATTTATTCTTGTATTTGTGCTTAATATTGGAAAATCAGACACTTCAACTGTTCACATTATTTCTTCTGAATCTGTATTTATATCACAGTACTTCCCTCTTACTCATTTTCAGCAATTTATTTTTAGGCATTTTCTTATCACTATACTGTTATTTCAGTCTGATTTCTACAGTTACTAAAATGGTGATTTTCCTGGAGTAATAAATAAATACTAGAAACTTTAAGTAGGATGAATATAACCATATAAAACAAGCCTGCACAGATAGAGCCAGATTTAACAAATAGAACCTACTGAATTAATTTTTTTTAAAATGAATTATGTTGGCAAAAGCAGGTTAACTTATTAATTTATGTTATGGCTGATGGTCAACAGCATATAGTGTTTGTCACCAAACCCTTTTATCTGCTGTTACTCTTTCAGAGAACACAGAAATAATGAGCCTTTATTGCTCCAGTTCATGACAGCAGATTCAGCACTTGCAGATTCTTGGACTACTTCTACGCATACACAAAATACTATACTGGGTTGAGTACCAAGATTTTGGACACTTTTCATTCCAAATTCAGTATCTATCAAGCCTGCTGTTTTCAGTTTAGTCCCCAGTCTTATCTTTTAAACTGGTATTTAGGAAAAAAAACTCCAAATTACCAGGAAGTGGCATGTTTTGGAGATAATGGCAGCTGCAGACCTGCCAGCAACCATGATCCAAACATGGCAAAAATGCTGAGAGTCCAGGTGAAAACAAAAACCAGACACCAGATGTGAAGTACCAAAGCCAGCCTAGTGACAGAAATAAAGACCTGTCTTCACATTCTAGATCACAAGTCTTTCTAACACTGAATACTAATTAAGAAAAATAACTTTCCATTTTTAACTTGAAAAAATGTTTTCATGAAACTGTGAAGCCATAACAAGAAATTAATTAATCACAATTTTTTAAACAAAACACTGTATAAGTGAAGCAAATGCTTTTTAAAGAAGGTTGTTCTTGTAGAATGACATTCACTCTTTAAACTGTTGTGTATTACCTGTGCAGTTCAGCAGTAAGTTCCATTAATTTCTGTGCTGAAAATTTAATAAATATGGTAAGAAACTTCTAAACTCATTGTCCATGGAAATAATAATATAAATCAGTTAAATCCATGATACAAACTTAGGGCTCATGGAAGGCATATGACAAAGAGAGATTTTTCAGTCTAGGAAGGCCATTTGTAAGATAAACAGACAATTACTATACAATTACTGCCACATTTGAATAATTTTTAACTCCTTAAAATTATATTCAACTGTTTTGAATGCTCACAAAAATATAATCTACCATTCCGATAAAGACACACCTTCTGGATAACCCTGAAGAATAAATAATATTAACCAAAGCTCAAAAATCTGCCCAGCCTGGATTAAGAAGAGGATGGACATTAGTTTCATTAGCCATAAGCCTTTACAGGGGTGATGATTACCAAATGCTAAGGACTTTTACACCCAGTTTGGTGGGTGGCAACCTTCTGCCCAAATTGTAAGCAAGAGCAACTCCTGCCTTTTAAGCCTCAAGCACTGCATCCATACCTTGTCTACTAACAAGCACTACCACTGCCATATTCCAGTTGGTGAAAGTGACTGAGATACAGAGATAGCAGAATTATCACTTAGGCCTTGATACAAGAAATCTGAAATCTCTTACTGATTACAAGCTGTGCTACAACCAGCACAAGGCTATTTGCTCTCCATAAATACTTAGTCAAGTAATTCAGTTCCCGAACAGGATGAACAGCTAGACCTTTTGATAGCACAGTTTGTAGAACAGAACATCAGAGGTAGAAAAGGAGCAAAATGTAATTTTTCTTTTAGTTTTGCCTGTTGCTTAAGCAAGGTCCTTATATTACATTCCACTGTAATTAATTTCTGCTTTGTTCGGTTTTCTACCAAGAACTGTCATCTACTTCTACTCACTAGTTTTTTTGTGAAGATTTAAAAACATATTATTGAAGTCTATCTTACTTTTGTATCTTCCCCTCCCCCCCTCCACACGTATGAAGAATCCAAAACAAACATGGTATAGTCTTCAGAAATAACAATATTGGAAACAGCTTTTGTGCTACCTAATTTCTACAGAAACAAATACAGGCACATGAGCAGCATAACAGTAACGTGCATTTCTAGTAGTATCTGAGACTTCAACATAAAAAGAAACTGAACTGCTGATGTAAAGTTTGTTTCCCTTCTCAGTCGGTTGTAGCAAAATGCTCCATTTCTCAATACGCCTGCCTCAGTTCCCCTCTATGATTCAACTGCTTTTGTCTCTCAATTTGGCAGGCCCAGGCCTGGAGTGGAAAGATTCCCATAGGAAAGGAAAGGGCCTAGCAATCTCTGAGCTGGTAACAACCTTGAAAAGTATAAACAGAAGCCAAGTTGATGTTCATGACACCAGCTGCTCTCTGGTGCTGAGGAACGCTGAGCCCAGCCTAGCCACAACTAGGCCCAAAACAGGGATAAAGTAACAATGAGCAGATGAAAGAGTTTTCTTGGTGGGAAAAACATCTTCTTGGCTTTTCATACCCTTTTCCTTCTATTCTCCAATGAGAGATCTTGGAGTTATGGCTAAACAGTTACATGACAGCAGTCAATCCACTTTATTCTATAAAAGCCTTTGATCGGGAGACTTCCCATACACTTTCCCAGGAGGTTTCCCAGATCTTCTCTCCAGCAGGGACACCTGCCAGAGAGATTAATTCTCGAGAATTAAGGACCAGACAAAGGAACACCCAGCTGCAGCTGGGCAAGGGTGAGAGACATGAATTCCTTCATTGTCTTTGTTAGCAAATGGAACATTAATCAATTTTTCATAATTAAGTTTTAAATGTTAAGATTCTAGACTCCTTTTGAAGTCAATAATTAATGTTCTAGGCTGAGTCTAAAGCTTAGCAATAATTTGCCAACATTTTAATGGTTAAGGTTTATCGTTTGATCTAACTACCAGTAGGTGTATTTTATTGTTAAGATTACCTTTTTTGCATTCTAACCTTAGCTTCTCTTCTGATCTCCCCATTTCCCTACCATTTGACTGTGCTTGTGCCTTTCTAGGGGGCTAGGACCCCGGTGTCATGTGCAATAAATCTCTATCAGCGCATATACATCTCCTCTGCTATCTCACCTCTTGGGGACAATCTGTGCTGGTGCCTTCTAAGGGTTAAGATCCCAGTGTCATATACAGTAGGTCTCAATCAGTGCATACACATCTTGTCTGCCATCCCACCCCGTTTGGGACATCAGTTCAGTAAGAGTTGGCTTAAGACCCATTTCAGATCCAAGCAGGACAAAAGTTTAATTGACTTTGTGTGCTTGCACTTAAGGCAAGGTGTTTTTCTCTGTGACAGTTTTCTTCTTTACTTTAAATTCTCAATTCTGTTATTTAGTAACTAAAGAATTAGTTTTCATCTCATTTTTCCTCAAGATGTCATTTCAAGATATGCCTTATTTTATTATCATGAGCACTACGTTTACCCATACACATCTCCTGAAGACAGAGCAAGACTGATTGATTCTTGCCACTTCTTCCCTGACAAGCACATCTGGCCTCTGGGGCTCACTAGTGGATTTTGACAGAAGCCATTGAAAGGTAAGTTTCAAATTAATCCTTAGAGTAAAATGCAATGAAAAACTGCCACTCACTGTAAGAATGGAGTGATGTGATCTTTTTTTAACAAGTTGTTAGTGAAATGTTGTAGTGTTTTTTCCATCCTGATGAAATGGTTTTATAAGCAGGCAACTGTTTGAAAGCAAAACTTAACTGATCAGAAAAATAACTAAAATCTACTTTCATTCCAAAATTTAATGTTCATGTTTGTGTTTTGGTTTTTTTTTTTACTTTTGAGTGTGTTGTGTGTAGTGCCAGGTACAATAACAGAACTGCATGGTGTAACAGACATTTGCATTTATTAAAAATCACAATAGTATAAATCAGCTTGTCGTATATATTGCCTCTTTGGGTCACAAAAACCCAATAAGGAGAAAATTCTGAAATCAAGTTTCTTACCTGAAATTTTTTGAGTTATATTTTTGTAATATATATAGAAATTTGCTGTGCATGAAAGTGACCTATGCTAATCCTAGAAGTTATAAATGTATATCCTGCAAACCAACTCAGTGCCTACAGCATATCACAATTCTAGTTTTATGGAAAGACTTAGGGCTAGATTTTAAAATAAGGCAAAAAAAGTGACACTTACAGAGATCTGCATAGTTTAAGAGTGCTACCAGGACACATCTCTTATAGGCAGGAGAGGTCAAGAATTTTCATCTGACTGTGTTGCTTGTTCTCAGAATAACTGTTCTTTACTGCAGGCTCACCCAGCATCATTATCTGGAGCTCAGTGATGCTTAATGAGCAAGGCATATGAGAATGAGAAGTACCTTCTGCTGAGAATGAAGCCTTCTACTTTACATCAAAGTCTGAATAAATGAACATCCAATATATGAACTGATGGGGAAAAAACAAATAACAACAACATAGCTGTTATGGTCTCTGAGGATCATCACACACCTTTGAGGAGTTCTTTATCCTGGATTTTTTTTCTATTTCTATTACTCCCCCCTCACTGTCACTTTCTGTTTACAAAGCCAGACATGTTCCAACTAATTCCCATGGAAGCAAGATCCATAGTAGCTATCCAGAACCAAGTCTAAATAAGACTTAAATTCCTTCAGTCTCTAAAAATATAAACTTGCCAAACTTCTAGCTTCACTAGCATTAACTTAAAATTTTTAGAAATTTCTAACTTTCATACACTCCCATGAGGAACACAAGCTGGTTACTTTCACAAGGCTGAAAGCCTGAGTTAATTACAAGGCTCATTTTTAATAGTAAAACCAGCATTCCCAAGGCATTGTCTGCATATCCTGCTGTGTATCTGATTATGGTTCTCATTTCTTTCTTTCTAACAATTAACTGGTGAGGTTTCAACAAAACAGATCTTTTATGACAAAGAGCTGTGACTGACATTTTTAATGAGATTAGTAGTTGTGACTATGTTGAACAGTAGCAATGTCCAAGATTTTGGACAGCTTCTATCAGCTTCTCAAGTGAAGGAAAAACCTGGGATCAAAAACTGGGTTACACTTTGAAATCAATAAAGAACATCTGTGCTGCCCACCAGCTCAGCCCAGGCTCAAAATGATTTTCCCTTAAAGAAACAAGGCTTTACCTGGAAAAAAAAAATGTTTTTTTGCATTGGTCTCTGTTGCACAGGTCCACTAAAAAAAGTCACATATATCCTTCCAAATCCTGAATGTTTGCTTTCTTAATTTAACTTAATTTGGCTGACTACAACATAGTATAATGCTTGGGAACATAATTAGAGTAATCACATTTTTGTATTAATAGCAACTGAAGATGGCTTCTACTTCCAAAATCCCTGTTTTGTGGAGGAAAAACAACATATGCAAATGAAGAACAGATAGGAGGATAAGAGAATGGGTACTGGCCTGTTACCACACACTTCTTCTGACATTCTTCCAGTGTTAGAAAGTTGTTCTCATTGCCGTGGCATCCACCGTATTCAAACATTTCGCACTCACGGCTTTGAACGTTGAAGTAATAACGGATGTGGATTGCTTTGCATGGGCCTTCCACTGCTTTCATGGCACACACTGAATGTCCTAGTTTCAGTGGTGGCAAAGCAGCACCTGAAACAGAGAAGAAGCAGCACACCTGTGAGTAAGTTAGTTTGCTCCACTGCACATCATAACTTCAAAATTAGATTGCTTGCATCTTCTGCTAGACAGGCACTGCATAACAGCAAAGCTCTGAACACTAAGCCTAGGCGTAAAAACAAAGTAACCATCTGCACTGCAACGCAAATTTCAGTCAAACCAAATCCCTGTTTCTATTTTCAACCAAAAGAGCCCATCTTCTGAACTTCAACTCCTCACCATAAATCTCTAAAAACCTACAGATAGTGGCTTAATCACAGGCCTTAGTGAGCGATTCTGAACAACAAATACAATGAGAAAATCCTAGTAGCTCCTACAGACACAGTGACCCCCGCATAAAAAAAAAGGCAGAAAGAGGGATCCTGGTGCTCTCTTCCGTGAAATGCAAACAGCTCATGGAGGTACCTCAGTCTCAGTCCATCCTGGGATGAACTAAGCAAGACAGCCCTGCAGAGGGCACCATTCCCCTATCTCATAACACTTCACGGGCACATCACCGCATCTGCTAGTACCTAAAGGTCATGCACTGTTTTACTCTTTTTTGAGCTCGCTGTTCTTGCATTAGAGCTTCCAAGAGCCAAGAAGCAAGCAAGTAGAAAGACGAGGAGAAAACAAACTGTGTATTTTCAGATCATGTCATTTCCCTATTTTTCAATACACACTACTGGGTCATTTTGTAAAAACTGCCATAGCATTGTGAAGAATGCTGGCCATGCCTATACACTGTCACTTTGCATGAAGAAATTCTAACTGACGATCCAGTTTGTAATACCATTCCCTTACCATTATATGGTTTACTATCTTTCCCTGTTTTGATCTTCCAAGGAACTGCAGTGGATTTTGAAAGCTTTACAGAGTTCGTGTACTTCCAACAGCGGCCAGAAGAACAGACTTGAAATTTTTCCCTTATTCTCCCAGAGCTTATCAGAACATCAATACCTCGGAACACATATATGCAAAAATATCTATCAGTTCTCTTTGCAGTGGCATAGAAAAGAGAACAAGGAAAAAAAAAAAGTATAAGGATATGAGTTTACATCATTATTTCACATCTTCCTGCTACTAACTAGAATAAGTTTCTAGTTTTAATTAAAGCCACAAAAATCAGGCTTAATGACACAGTAAAAAGGAAATTTCTCTAACTACTGCCCACCAGCTCAGTGGATATCTGATTTTATCATCTAAAAATGGTCTTATTACATAATAGTTAAATAAAATGCACAGGTGAGCTAAATCCTCAAAGTCTGAGGTCAGTTGAAGGTAACTAATTTTATTGCATTTGAACCACTTATAACTATGAAATCTACAGAAAATAAAGATTTTTCAGAATGAAAATATTTTAACTCATAGCATTTAAACCCTTGAAAATTTAACAACCTTTATTGCACAATCACCATCAACACAAGAATTGTAGCACACAATTAGATCCTCCAAAACTGGACCATTTCATGTTAAAATGCAGATTAAGATTATTAATTTCAAAATTCTCATTAAATACCAGTCCCTAAAGTAGTCTGTAACTGTTCCCTCATTAGTGAAATTAAATTTACTGATTTTGAAGTTAGGAAAATAGATTTGAAAATATTATTTAAGACTAAAAGGAAATGTGGGTGAATTAAAAGAACCATTTTTAAGAGACATTAGAATCAGTACACTTCCTATGGAACTCAGCTTGCCAGATTTCTCAATATTGTTTCTTGACAGTTTCCTTATCTGGATTTTCCTGAGCTCATAAAAAATTAAGATTTATAAGTCACAGGAGATTACAAATTAGATTCCAAAGGTCAAAAGTTCTCCAATAGAACTTGAAAGAAGGAACTTGAAAAGGCTCAACTTGAAAACGTGCGAGGATAGTGCATTGCTAAATGAAACACTAGAATTCCCACACACAGTAATAGGGAACAAATGCCTTCAAAACATCAAAGTTTTAAGTAACTTTTGGAGTAACTCCTGAATAGTTAAATCAAACATTCAGAGAGCCACAGAAGCTGATTCAACTCAAATGCAGTTGAGGTTAGGGCTGGCAGCTGGTTTATAAACATGTCATTTTCTTGGCACACAGGAAATGAGTTCTCCTACATGACCTGTGTCACTGACCCATTTCAGTCTAGAAGAGGTTGAGAAAACTTCCTAGGTTTCCTAACTACTGGAATTTCAGACAGGGTTGTATCAGCTCATTTTGCTTGCTACATTATACCACACCAATGTTGTGGTCTATGAAAACAGAAATAGTGTGCAAGCACGGTTTCAAAACTACACAACAATGATGAACAAATGGCTTAGTAGAGTTCATCTTGGGAACTTCCTGGTCTCAACTCCTAGCCTATTTCACATCCAACCCACAGAACTAAATCATTGTTTTGCTTACCTCCTAAGGCCTTTCTTCTGCAGTCACAGTGACAGTTACCACTGCCAGATGTACTGACATCTGCTGCCAACATAATGACTATCTGTGTCACACTTCCGGCAATTAGACATTTATGTCCTTAGGAGTCCTAGAAAGTTACCATACTTTGACTAAAATCTATACCCTGTTAAACCCCTAGAGGACAAACCCTCCAACTTTGCACAATAACCAAGCAACTCTGAAGAAAAAAGTCTCAAAAGGATTAAGGGGAACTGAAACGTACTTGTGGTCTGGAAACAATTCTTCCACATTATTTTACACCTGGGAACACTTAACTCACACAGATGACATAATATTAGCTTTCCTTCTCAGATTAGAGCAGCAGATGAGAAGGCAAGCATGAGTGTTTGGCCAGTAGATCTGCATGGATACAAATCTGCCTGTACTCATTTTGCATGTGGAAAATACCTGGAGAAAGAGAATTTTTAGTATAAGGCCACCTCATCCTCTGCTCTTGAACACTAGAATAAATTCTACTACCTTTTAGGTTCTGTGTGAAGAGCACAGAATATGACTTTTAAGGAAGATGTCTCTCAGGAAGGTCAGTGAATATTCTCTAACAGAAACATGGGAAAACTGGAAGGAATTTTAATTCAGCTTCTATTTCAAGTTTTTTCATGTTTCTAAGGGCTAAATACCTGGAGACCTTTCCTGACAGATGTACAAACTGTTGTTAATGCTCCAGTGAAGTAAAACTCCCAAAAACCTCAAGCAGCCAGCTCCAGGATTTTACTACCTTCTTGCCAAGACAGACCTTTTTTTTAATATACAGCTTAAATATTCTTTATTCCATATTAAATAATTTTTACTTCCTTCAGTGCATAGACAGAATATTTTAGTAAATATATAGTAAATATGTCTATATAGAATATATAGTGAATTTGTTTTCATTTTCTAATTCACCATCTGTGTCTTGCAATTCAAGGCTGCTGCAAGACAGGAAGCAGCCTCCTGCACTCTGAGACTCTACCTGGGGCTCTCCAGGTTCAGCCCTTCCTAGGCTACCTGAAACAGTGGTGCAGCAGCCCCCTTGCACTCACTGCTTCACTTCAGTAGCCCATCTGTTGTCTACCTCCTTTCTTCCTTTCCTTCTCTTGCAAGACTTGTGTCTCCTCTTAATTATCTTTACACTTAATAAACACCTTTCTTCCAGGATTTTATTGGCTTTTGCTTTCTAGCCCTCTCCTTTGGATACCTTCCTATTGGTCTGTTCAAGTGTGCTGTCCAGAGATGAATATAATCCCTCTACCTGAGGTGTTACTGGTGCCAAATAGAGTGGAATAATTATCCTTTGTGTTTTTTTAGAACTACACTATGATTTTTGTAATTCTCTGCAACTTCCACTTGCTTTCCAGCAAATACAATCTTGTTATACAGGTACTTCAACAGTTATACTCCACCTTTTATTCACAAATGCATTGACTCTCCTGAAGTTTAGCATGTTGCATTTGTAGTTTTAAAAATAAAAGTAGTTTCACCCTCCACATTGGATCTAGCCCTGTTGAATATTTATTACTCATCCAATTTAGGCATCTGATCCAAATGGACTGAGAGAATCTGCAGAACTATAGGACTATACTACCCTAAACCAAAAAAAGTGATTTTGTTTGGCCAGAAGTATGTTAAGTAATGGTTACAGCTGATGCTCACCATCACACCAAAGCTATTACTTGCCATAATAAAATGAAAATAAAGCAAAGCAAAACCTCCTCTCCTCAAATTTTAATATAATGACTTAATTACATCAGCTACATAGGTTTTCATAACAGAAGACACAAAACATCTACTGTTCTGCTCAGTCTTAACAGTTTTTCCACTCTGTGGGTCATGGTAAGTGCAAAGTAATGCTGATGAAATGGCTCACAATGAGCACAAGCTTGGTGCAGTTATTTTCTGTCGCTACCTTCTCCTCCATTCCTTCAGTTTTCCTACTTGAGCAACCATGAGAAACAAGATACTTGCCAAGACAGCTCCTACACAGCATAGCCATTCTCACATTTATTGCAATTCACATGGCAACTTTTGCAACTGGCTGTTTAACACAACAACACACATCATTAACCAACAAGCAGTAATTTCACTGCAAGAGCTCCAGTAATCTGCAGGTAGTCATTCTATAGCCCTGAGCACATAGACCTTATACCATCAATGCACAGAACTACTACTGCTTTAGTAGTAAGCAGCATAACATTACAGAACCAGAAGTGATGAGTAATGTCTCTTACCTTTTTATATTAATTATCCAAGTAAAAAAAAAATATGCTTTTTTTCACCTAGCTGTAAGCACAGTAAAATACTTTAACTTGACATTCAGACTCTAGGATAATCTGTATGGCTGGTCGTTAAAAATGCATCCTATTTATTATACTTAGGGCACAAAAAATATTAAAGACCGAAGTACTATTGCTGTTGCTTTTCACAACAGAACTATATAAATTCCATTGGGAAAATGAAACTTGGCTGGAAGTATTTCTGACTTTTTATGTAAAATAGTTTTTCGTTTTCTTTGCTTAGGTTATGGGTTCTAAACCATAAACGAGTTTCTGTGGTTATCCTTAATTATAAAGACATGCTGTCCACTTTTGAGGCTTTTTTGTCAATGTCTCTTTTTGATAAGTGATATCAATGCTAAGCACCTTGTTGCTAATGAATGGCTGTTCCTTTTCTCTCCATTTTTGTCAGTTTGACAGCTTCCCACCCACACACTGTTCAGTGCTCTTCCTACCCATGTGTTTCCTACTCTTTCTTTAAGCAGTCACATGTATTCTTGATAAACTTCCATATATTAATAAAAAGCACATTCAACTTAACAATTCTTCTGTCTTTGGAACATCTACTAAAGTGATCCCAACCACATGAGTTATTGCTGAACAATATATATAAACTAGTTATTTTTTCTTTTTTGTTGTTTTTGCTATTACGCTTATTGTTAGAAAAAATGACAGATTTTCCCAGAAGAGAACAAATTGACGCTATTTTTTATCCCCTTGGACTTCACTTGCAACCTTAATTATTACTGCAATTTAAATGCTAATAGACAAAAAACTCCTCTTAGATTCACCACGTACTTGTACCCAATGTGATCCAAAAGTATGACATTATTTTATCCTTTAATACCTAAGTTATTGAATTCTGTAGTAAAATGTGTCAATGTTTCATAACCATCTAACTCAGAAAATAAATGCTATCAGTGAAATTGCAGTCTAAAAAATTTCTAGAGTTAAACTCACTGGGACCAGAATTTCACTGTTAAGAAACCACAAATATAATGTTAATTAGCAACAACCTCGTAACTTTATAGAAATAGAGTACTGTAAAGGTTACTTTTGTAAACACTGCAACTGAGTCTATCTCAAACACAGTGTCCAAGTTTAATTTCTAAGCATCACATTTGATTATTTTCTCACTGGAAAACAAGCCAAAAAATTCACAACTGTTCCTCATACCAAATCCGTTACTAGTTGTATAATCTTAAATAACTGGCTTTAAAATAACCAATGCCAAAATAATGCCCAATAAAAACAGAGACTACTTTTGTTATTGACTTTCATAAACAAAACAAATAGAGGAAAAAAATAATCCAGCACATTTCTTGTTCTGGGATGAAGTGTGTTACTATAACAAGCAGGACAAATTTACCTTCATAAACTGTAAGCTTAGGCTAGGGATTTCTGTATAACTCAAAGTTGCAGAGCAGAACTAAGAAAAATGTGACTTTGCCCTCAACCAAGAGGGGCATTTTTGTACTTCAGGGTTAAAGAGAAACACATTTATTCTGTACAAAACAGTCTGCATAACTATGCTAAGCATCCGCTTAATGCAGAGTGGTGCACACCTTTACCTGCAGTGACTAACTGTGACACGGACCTAAAGCACAAGCCTTGTTTGTAGTATAGCTGTGATTGCTCACAATTCATGTTTTTGTTTCAAGGAACACTGCTTCAAAGTCAAGACAGAGAGAAACTGTATGGCTGGAAATCAGAAGAGTCACAGGCAGATTGAGTAGAGTGCAAACATAAAAAAACCAAAGTTTTCTCCGGGTTGCATTCCCAGTTTGGCCTCAAAATCAGACCTGTAAAGTCAGAGAAGTAACCACTGCATAGTTCTCTATAGCTTAAGAAAAAGATCACAATTTAAAATCATTTTCTCAAAGGAAAGAAGAATATTTTGGAATAGTCCTCATCTGTTTCCTCAGAATTCTTTGGGAGGTAATGAAAATATCTTTCACAATGGTATCCAGTATAGAAGTTTGACCCACCCCACTTGATTTCAATTACGTGAAAGCAAGCAATGCTCTTACAATGGTAAGAACCAAAGAACCTCAACAGTTCTACAGTCAGAGTTCTGACATTATCTTTCTGAACAAAAATCTCAGACTGGTGAGTTTTTATTTATCCAGCAATATCCAATTACTTGGTGCTACACAAAGACCTCCTTCAAGGCTCAGAAAAACAAGGGCAGTAATTACATCAGTTTTAGACCAAACTTTGCAAATTAACTGTGACTCAAGAGAGCTGTGCACAGGACAGAGTAACACCAGTCTATCCATTACGTTCCTGCTCCAATTGCTCAGGGAGTTAAAACCTGAGTTTATCAGCTGTACATTCGTTTCCCTAAACCCTGACCCCTTCCATGGGTCCTACAGCAGAGCTTTAAGGGAGTAATTTTGATACCTAACACAATGTTTGATTAGAAGTTCCAAAAACATGGATAACAGGCCTTTACAGAAGGCAATTTTGATACATCTTGATGCAAAATTGAGACTCCCTGTTAGAAGCTAGCGTATTTTTAACTTAGTTCCACCTTCAAAAGTTTCCCAGAAAAGCTCTCAAGTACAGAATCGCATCTACAGTGCATTATAGCAAAGTGGGTCTTGTTGTTTGAGCTAGTTTTGTGTGTCATTTTCATAACCTCTTACCCAGAACATACTCTTCTTCATTGTCATCTAGGTCAGTAGTTTTACACGCAGTGAAAAAGACCAACAGCAAGATAAAGGTTGAAGGTAAGGAACATCCTTTCTTTCTTCCTTTCATCTTTCCTGTATAACATATAAAAGACAACATACACTTGAATAAAATTCCTCGACTACTCTGCAAAAGTCATTAGCAGAGAAGTGCATAGTCTTATGGGTTGGAAGCTTGGAAAATGTTGTGTGCTGTGTTCATATAACTATGTTCTAAGCACAATTAAAAGCCAGACAAGATTTATAGCTGTGCTCAGCTGACTGCAGGTCCAATGTCCCATGTCCCATCTTCAGTACATATTAGAGGCATTGCAATGACTTTCATTTTAAGCCACAATTGAAATAACCTCCCAGAATACATAATTGTATTCTTTGGACTTTTTATGTCCTGACACAATGACACAAAGGGCACATCCAACCCTCTCAAGTAAGTCTTACTCTGTCTGCAGACCCCAGAATCGTTGCCACAAACATAGGATTCTGCTTTAACAAGTATTTCATCAATTTATAGTTACCAAATTCCTGTACTTTTGCATAAATTGTATTTTACAGGAGCCAATGAGCTTTTTGTAATATGGGTTTCAAGACTTTAAGAAGTATTTTGTATCTTGTAGATCACTTCAATATTGAATATTTCACTCCAGTGCAGGGCTGTTATTCACACAGGATCAGTGCAACCATAGTAATTTACACAAAGAAAATACATTTATTCCAAGGCAGCTGACATGTTCAAGTTGCCAAAGATGAGGTTATGCATGCAGATGTGGGAGTACCTCTGGAAAACTTCTGCTTTCATGTTTTGGAAACACACATTTTTCACCTAACAAATTCCCTTAAGGA